TTCGTATTGTATCTTGAAAAAAAGCGTATTACCACTAATGACAAATCTTTGCATGATTTTGCAGCGTTTATTAGTTTCTTACAGTTATCAAACATTCGTCCAGAATTTATGATTTTAATAAAAGCAATAAAAAAAAATCATGCAACCTGTCGCAATTTTACTAAAAAGAAAATGATACATTTTACAATATTCATTTTGAGCAGAGAGTATTTTTTTTCCTGTTCACTCTATTATCAAATTGACAAAATCAGCGGATAAATTGACAAAGTTAGTGGATACATTGACAAAGTCGGTGGATAAATTGACGAATTCGGTGGATAAATTGACAAATTCGGTGGATAAATTGACAATGCCGGTAGATAAATTTACAAAGTCAATGGATAAATTAACAAAGTCGGTGGATAAAATGGAGAAGGCCGGTACTCTACGTCAGCTACCCAGATATAGTTTGAAGTGATTATAAAAGGGGACATAAATATCTCAAAAGAAAAGTCAACATTATAATCAGTACGTGATTAGAATTTTTCAAAAAAAAAATTCTATCATTTTATCAATTGTATATTGAGATTTCGATAAATCTGTGAATAAGATATTATTTCAAGGGATGAAAGAGAGCATCAATTTAGAAATTATGATCTTAAAAAATGGAATGATTCACAAAATATATATATTATCACTTGCCTTTTAAGCATAAAATGTGGAGGTCACACCTCTATAGCTGTTGTTATTAATGCAGTTTGCAATAAATGAAACTGTTTGATGAATTATGAGCATTTTAAATTCACGCTTTATTGCTTTCTTTTAAACCATGGTGCAAAATTTCTCTTATGGGTAATGTTAAATTCGCCATGACTGTTTATCAATTTTAATTTTAATCGTTAGAATTTAAAATTGACTTATTTTTTTAAATATAATTTTTCTTCCTTGACATATTTTGGTTTCGCAATATAAATGATCCAGATTTAAAACATCTTAAAGTGAAAATGTACTCATTCGCAGTCAACAGCGTAATGTAACTCTGGCTGATACTCTTGGAAGGGACCTCAATTTAAAATGGCACTTTCCTCTGATTCTATCCAAGACAGTTTTAAAAAGCATGAACAGTTTGATGATTTATAAATTGCAGATGTTATATTGCTCACGCTTAATTAAAAAATACTTATGATAGAAGAAAATCTGTGAGAAATGTCATCCAAATGTGCAACCTAATTCACATGTATTGTGCAAACCACATGGAGAACATCATTGTTTAAATTGAATGTTAAAGAAACCTCTCTCTTCTTCTTCTCTCTCTCTCTAATTATTAAAAGTTGACATCTGATTCGCTAGCGCATGAAATATTAAAATCTACCCCGTATTTTGTGAATCTAATTATACAATACCGGAAAAATTTTTGACACTAAACAAATTAAAAAGTGTTCAATGAGTTTGTGAACAATATTATCATCAAATAAATAGCAGGGTTTTAGTAATTTGCAAACCTACCCATGACAAATTGCTTGTGGTATACACTGTTATGGTAAATTTATTTATTGTAATTTCATATCCTGTTAATTTAAATTAAAAAAAAAGACTTTCAACTAAGACCTACTGCCTAAAATGAAGTTAGCTTTTGCCAAAAAACGAAGAAACTTTTTTCTTAAATTGGTGTGTTGTCATAATTGCCATTTATCAAAAGAACGATTAAAATGTACATAATATAAAATCATGGGAGGTAAATCAAAGCAACATAATAAACAATAAACGTTATTAACATTAAATAATAAACAATAAACAAAATAAACATTAAATAATAAACAATAAACATAAAACATTAAATAATAAACAATAAACATAATAAACAATATTGGTCACACTGATCGGATTGAGTACATTTTACATAATTACTAAAAACATGGAATACAGGATGGGGCCTCCCAGTTCTAAATGATAAAAGAAAAGCAAACCGGCAAATAATTCTGCCACAGAATAAGGTGAAATAGAGACTGAAATAGAATGTATGAAATCTTGTATACCACCTGGATTGAAGGCAATCGGAGGAGACATAGTCTTAAATGTAAGTAAGAATATAAACAAAATAACTATTAGCGTGTCTTAGATGTAAAGAACATCCATTTCAATCATCAGAAAACAAACAATACAAAAAACAAATGAAACAGTCCATTTTTTATTAGACAGCGTATTACTCATTATTTGCGGCTGTTATAGTTTATGTAAAGTCCCTGTTTAATTTATATAACTGCAAAAGGTTCATAAAGCTGCATACCAACCATATATATTTACATTCAGTGTATTTTCCCTTATGAAATCCATCAGAAATCTACGACGTTCATATCTCTGTAACACACACGAAACCCTGTCACTGCGCGGTAGTTTACACAGTAGGAACTATATGCATTTTCAATACTCGAGGAACACCAAAATGTATATTGTTTTGACTCAATTTAATTAAAAACAATTACCCTGTTAAATTGTCGTAAAAATAAAACAACTGTGCATTAAAAATTATTTGTCATTTTTTCCCCTCTCAATGTTCATTTGCGTAATTTAACTTTCTAACGTCACAAACGGCTCTTACGTCTATACACCAGTTTTGAAAGGTGCTAAATCCATAAAGAAGATTAACGAAATATACAATTTTGTAGAGAGAAAATTAGAGAATGTAAATATAAGCCTTGAATTCTTATTTTTGGATGTCGTCGGTCCTATAACACACGTGGCCGTGCCGGCAAATTATCATACCGCGCTAACGCTAAATATATCGACAACGTATTATCAATTAACAATAGTTACTTCCATTCATATGTCGACTAGATATATCCCAGTGAACTTGAAATAAAAGACACCACAGAGTCTGACATATTTGGATATTTTTACTAGAAAAAGACTTTAATGGTAACCTAAAAACAAAACTTTATAATAAACGTTATAATAAACGTGATGACTTCAATTTTTCAGCTTCCCTTAATTATGGAGCAATATACCCTCATAACCTGCATATGTGGTTTTTGTATCCCAGTTGAATCGATACGTAAAAGCATGCTCTACGTATAAACAATTTCTAAAACGAGGCAAACTATTGAAAATTAAGTTGATGAAACAAGGATATCAACAGTCTCGTTGGAAGTCATCAAGTTTTATAGTCGATACAATGACCTTGACAGCAAATACAACCTATCATTAAGTCAAATGCTGACTGACTTTTTTCATACAAATTGTTAGGCCATTTGTATGGCCTTACATTATTTACACACTGAATTGCCTACCGATATTTCCGTTTTTTATCGATCATGACAAGGAGCACACGGCGGGTGTGACCGGTCGACAGGGGCTGCTCACTCCTCCATGAAACCTGATCCCACTTCTGATGTTTTTGAAGGTCCGTGTTTGCTCTGCTCCCGATTTGTATTGTTTGAATGGACTTCGAGCTTGAATACTGTTCTTTATCTTGATATTTTATTAGTCTATTTAATTCTTTTATGACCTCCGATTTGTGAAAACGGAAGGATAGATGGTTCGCTTATTACCTTTAAACTTTATAATACAATTCTTTAATGTATTTCGTAAACACTTAATCTATTCTGACAAAGTGTTCGGGTCTTCCTCTTCATATTTAGTCCCACGTATGGCATAATCTTCTACAGAATTCATAAAAGAAATGAAGTTCCTTCGCCAATTGAAAGATCGGGGCTCCCTGTCTTTACGAAATTTTAAGATGATTGCTTTTAGGTCTTCATTTTCAACTACATTAACATCACCGGTAATGATGTGTTCAGCGGGAACTGTATTTAAAAGAAGAAAAAAAACTTCAGAGTATTTTGTTTTAAATGTTCAATATCTAGGCACCGTAAGGTTTCTTTATAATTGAAAAGTTTGGAAGCAACAGTTTGGGACTATCTGTAGGCCACTCAGGGTGTAGACAAATATACAATTATGGACTCTTTCGATGGTGAATATGGTTTGTTATTCAATAGAAAAAATATCAATATTGACCGAGGCGAAGCCGAGGTCAATATTGATATTTTTCTGGTGAATAACAAATCATATTCGCCACCGGAAGAGTCCATAATTGTTTTATTATATAGTCCGTATTTGAATAAATAAGACATTGAAGGCTGCATGACGATACATTTTTCATTAATGAACTTCTGTCGTAGAAATTAAAAAAAAAACCCTACAGATTGCAACTTATAACTTCCGTGATTTCATTTCGCTGTGTGTAAGACATCGAAATGTTTGAAAAATAATCCTGCGAAAGACTTGCCTAACATTTTTTCCTGCTCAGATACACAGCTGGCTCCGGCCGTTGTAACCATACTGTTTTCAACGTTGGGGTATTGATTGTGACGTCACAATGCCGCTGCACGCGCACTGACCCTCCGTTGAATACGGCTTCAAATCCAGTTAATATGTAGTGTTATGAACCGTTTCCGTTTGCATAGATGATATAGTGGCTATTTATAGATTATATAATAAAATGAGATATGGTGAAGTGCAAGACTGAACTTTTTTTTTATTATTAAGAATGTTAAATGTTCACAGCATCATTTCCATTGTTAGCCATTTTAAGTTTAAAGAACCGACGGGTTGAATCAGAATAATTATCCTCCGACACATGTAGTGGCCTAAAGAGCCTTTGCTGGGCAACATCCATAATCACAAACACTAGCTTGTAATCTGCAGTTGAAAAATCCAAGTATGGATTTGCTTTAGCTTCTTAAAATATTCCATTCAAAAATTTCAAGGGAACTTACAAATTAAAGTGTAAAATTTAAAAAAAAAAGAATATAAGTAACAGAAACATAATGAGATTCTGACGTAAATTTCATTTTGTTGTTTTCTTCCCGAACACAAAATTAACGAAATGTAAGCTAGAACGAAATTAAATACGTCTACAGTATACAACGAAGCTCTTTGAGAGAGTATTTTATATATTGAAAAATTGATTGTTTTTTGCAATTCTCCCTTAAAAGGCCGATGTTTTCCTTTGTACAGCTGAAGTCCTCCCGAGCTCTGTTGCCTTCTGATCTTACCTAACTACCTAACCATGAATGGGACAAGATACCAAATCACATTTTGCTCTATGATTGGTAAGTGATATTGCTTCTGTTCCAGTAGAGTTTGTGTCTTAAATGTGTATATCACATTTGTATGCTATTATTTGAATAGTTTGGAGCAACTGACATCCTTGGATAAGAATTAAACTATGAAAGAATGAAAGGGGGAGTAGTTGATACTGGTTAATCAAAATGTTTGTTTTAAATACACATAAGTCACTCCTGTAATATATTAAGTTTTATTATTAATGTTTAAAGGACTATATATACGATGAGAGTTTGGACCCCATTAATCAACATTTTAAAGGATGATTTAGGTATATTAGACTGTTTTGTTATTTTGAAAAAAAGAGTATGCATTAAAAACTTCTTCCGTTCATTTGTCCCATTTTTATTCATTCTTTGACAGTAAATGACACCAGAAATGCTGCTATTTTTTCAATCTAGTTAAAATGAGACAAAAAATGTGCATTTTTCTTGATGTTCATCTTATGGGAAACATTGAACGCAGCTCCAAACAAGCAACATTTTTCTGTCAGTAAAAAGTCTTCATTAGATACCTCTTAGGGAAAGTATAATGTTTTTCTAGCTTACGCTTAATATTTTCTGGAAGAATAATTGCTTGAGAATTGGCATTCTTATTTTTTTAATTTTAGAAAATATGCTGAAAAAAGGTGAATTTTGTGATTTCATAATTCTAAATTAAAGATATTCAGATCAAATTGAACACTATGAAAAAACTTCACCTGTATAGCTGTGCAAAGTAAAACAATGAAATAAAATTCAGGTGTTCATTTTAGGGGCCATTTGAAACCTTTATCACATAAAGTATATTTGATAGACATAGATAAATAATAGATATAATTTTGTTTCCTATTTGAGTATGGCTATTTGCTGTTTTCTACAAATCATTCATTCTTCTACAGCACAATTTAATGTATGGTGAATTTTAATAATGAAAAAAGAAGTCTGAAGTTTTTCCATTTTCAAGAAATATTACTTCTTTTACGCAAGTCAAATGATCAATTTTAGTGTCTTGTTCTTTCATACGGTCCCAATTTTATCAAAATTTTGCCTTTTCATAAAATACGAGGGTTGTACCAAAAAGTCGTAGACAATGTTTATAACTTTGTAATCATTCAACAGGTCGAGGAATCTACCTTATATAAATATTGTTGTCAATGGACTTTTGCGAGAAGCGCTGACTTTTACTAATGACGACTTACTTTTACACTAGGGCAAAATACGGAAGCTCTTTTGCGATATAAACATTTAGCTCAAAAGTGAATTAAACGATAAAAATTGGCCATTTCAAAACAAATATTACGTTGTGTAGGAAGGGACCGTCATCCACCCTACCCTCAACCCCCTCCATTCCCACATTGACCAATTCTTGCTAAGTTTTCCTTCCGAAATGTTTTTCTTCCTTATTTTATTCCTTCAGAAAAATAAGATTGAAAGGAGATACTGCCCCTCACGAGTAAGTTAATTTAAGTTATGTAATTCTGCCTCATATCATATATTGCGTTGATTACATACCGGTAAATCACATTAGTGCCCCTACCACCATACCTATAACCACTATTAAGGTTTTCTTGGCTATTATCAATTCCGTACCTCCGTACATAAGGCAGGTTTAAATGTCAAAGTAAGTCGTCGACTGTAAAAGTTAGTGCTTCTCGCAAAAGTCCATTGCGCACAGAGGAGCTTACAGCAAACAATCGTCCAATCCAATGAATGAGCCGAAAAGCATGATGGTCTACTACATGTTTATATTTTAACACAAACACGTGGGCCAGGCAAATGAAGGACGCGATTTTGAATGACTGCGGGAAAGTCAACTAATAATTATTTTTAATATTTTTGTGAAAAATACGAAGAATAAATACTAATAAAGATTTCCCATGCTCACATTCACAAACAAAGCCAATTTTCCATGTTAAATAGTATGTTGAAATACACCTTACAAAGTCCTCACAAGTAAATAAGAATCCAGTTTTTATAACTTGATATTCGTAAATTTGCCATGCTACTGGTGTTAATCGTTGTTGCTTTATTATTTGTTTACAAGAAATTAAAAGTTAATGTATTTATTTAAAAAAGTAAGTTTATTACTGCACGGCATTTATTTTACACAGTAATTCTCATGTATTACACATTAATTCTCATGTACATTGATTTTGAACGTGTATTGATTAGCATATATATCGTAGTAAACAATGACAATATGTGAGTACACCTCAGAGTCGATTGTTTTGGACCAGTAAATAGTCACGTGATATTCGTATTCACTGATAGTGCAGCACAGGAATCGCTGCCAGGCAATTGTCAACAAACGGACTTGTCCACCGGATTGTAGAAAACCCAAATTTTACCGTTGAAAAACATTTGTATGTAAATGTAGGCATGGAATTCGTAGATAATGATGTACATATTGTATTAAGTGTGTAAAATTTTTTGATAAATGCAACATGTCTTTCCGAGAGCGATTTAAAAAAACTGGCCTTTTCGAAACGTACATGTAGTATTTGTTGTAGTAACCCATAATGCAACTCATTTAGCGGATTGGTCGGTTTGTCCGTCATGTTGGTGCCTCATTTAGCATGTAAATTTATTCAGAAGTCACAGAAAATAGTTTCCTTGACTTGTTCAACTAATATTAACCAATTTTTTTGACTATCATTTATCAAATGTCCATTAAAATAGTGATTTTTTTTAAATGAAAATCGTTCACAGTAATGGGAATATGACGATTTAAAGGTCGAAATGGTCTCTCTAACGCTTAAAATCCGTATAATTTACGTATTTTACAATTGCAATTGCATTTGTTTTTCTGATATGTAAAACATGAAATTCAAATAAATATCAATAAAAGCAGAAAAGAAAGTTGCTTAATATAAAAAAAAATTCATGTAGATGGCATCGGAGACAGAGGAGTGGTGACGTAATTTTAAAGCGTACTCTAGATGATTTCTATGTTTATCATCATCAAGGTATCAAAAACCGATAAAAACCAGGTAGTGCCCATATACCTCCGCATAATTGCCGTAAATCTAACTAAAATATTATTCACTATTACAGCTGTTAAAGAGAGTTACAAGAAATAGGAGAAACCTTGCAAACACTGAACACTTTGTATACATAAATTACACATGTAGTCGGGTAATTTTAGATTAATTTACTCATGAGTAACTCTCCTCAACCTAAATTGTGAAATTCAAGACCCCTTTGTCCAAAAGCTCTGGTGTTAGGGCAGGGCTCTACTGATCATTTAGTGAAAATGCATTAATTCTTTAAAAATCATCATCTCTGCCCCTGGTTATGAAACATCAAACTAAGTGCACGGTTATTATAAGTAAGGATGTCTGCAAATTTCTAACACTTAAATGAAAGGTTTGTTGGTATTGTACGTAAAAACCGGGGTCATCTGATGTAAGATTGCGGTTTTGCGACATAAAAGAGGACGACGGGAGAGAACATATCCTAAAACGATTAAGGATACCGGAAGTAAAAATAGTAGAAGAGTAGGAGAAAAGTACAAAGAGAATATCGACAAAATTAAAGGAATGTTAGTATTCTTAAAATGGAAAATTTTGACATCATTTATTTCTAACCAAGGTCTTGTCAAACCATGGCTTGGTGCCAAAAGGTGGGTTAAAAACTGGGATTATTCTGGTACACTGTACATACACTACGCCGTAGTCTATAGTCACATTAGTAAAATTAGAATCTACCGTCAAGTTAAAGAAAAACATACATCCAGAGCTGTTGCAAATTACCAAGCAAATTATTTTTCCGATTTTTGATTGTTGATAGCCCTATTTCTCATTTATGAGCAAGATATCTGCCTCAATCAATTTATTTCACTTCATTATATAATTATCACATTGCCGTTTTATGTAGGGTGTATCATAAGCAGGTGACCGTAAAGGCCCTTGTGTCTTGAAGTATTCATAATAGAACCATTTTCTTTTAGGTATTAGGTATTATTATAATATCCATCTTAGGTAATTCTTTCTCCTTAAAATGAGAGTTCTTCAATATTATGTAAAAGAGTAACAAAAATTTAATGATATTAAACACCTTTAGTTTATGGCTTTATTGAAATCCTGAGGAAAATATGATTTTAATGCAAAGAATAACACGGTAAACAAAGTTCGATAACTCATAAATTAATAATTAGTTTATTTTCAAAGTTGGTTTCGTTCATTGTTTTGAGATTTCCAGGCCTAGTTTGTTTATTTCTCAAATGGATTGTTGCTAATAATAGCAACGATGATTCTTTTAAAAAAAAAATTAAAAATCAAGTTTTCACGATAAATGCAGGAATCAATCTTCATTAAAATGAGACTTTTTCCGGTGTTTGAAAACATTTGATAAAAAATAATAATTACATGGCAGTCTGTGACCTTTGCTACAAGAACACTGCCAAGACTATGTCGTTTTCTTTTTATCTATTAATATATTGGGCTTAAAATTGCTATTATCTCGGGAAAATGAGATTAAGTTCATTAATTAAGCAGCCGTGACATCATTTGGATTTAAGTGATTCCTAAGATCGTTCGAATACTCCATATACAAGTAATTAAAGAAATAATAACTGGTTTTATGCGAAAAATCGCGTATTCAACATGAAATATGGAGATAAACAGTAATCAAGCTCAAAGTCCATTAAAACAATACAATTTGGAAGGCAAGCAAGCACGGACCTTTAAAAGCATCAGATGTGGGATCAGGTGCCTTGGAGGAGTAAACACCCCCTGTCCATCGGTCATACCCGCCGTGTGCTCCTTGTCATGATCGGGCAAACGGAAAAATCAGTAGACAATTCAGGGTTTAAATAATGGCCTGGCCTAACAATTAGAATGAAAAACCTCAGTCAGCATTAGACTTAATGGTAGATTGTATTTGTTGACAAGATCATTGTATCCACCATAGAACTTGCAAAAGATTGATATCCTAGTTTGTCAATAGCTTGTCTCCGTTTCAGAAATTGTTCGTAAGTAGAGCATGCTCTTGCGTATTGAATCAAC